GAGGGAGTCAGGGTTAGGCTTGCGGACGGTATCTGGGCAAAGATTTGATGAATGTGTCTGGAGGAACAGAAGTCGCAGGAAAGAGCACTGACGCCGGCAAAAAAGTGCGGCAGTAAAGCTCAATGTCGAGGGCTCCCCAGTAGGTGCGCTGGTTCCATTGGAGTAGGCAGGCAGCGGCCTTGGCAGAGAACTGCTTATGGTAATCATAGAACAGGGAACCCTCGAAACGGACAGATAGATCGAGGATGATGTGCATGTAATCGTCGAGTTCTTGACGACGTTCGGGAAAGGCGGAGCACATGATGTCACGAAAAATGCTGAAAGCCAAGCAGAAGTCGGAAAGGACTGAGGCAGAGTGAGGGTCAGAAGATTTGAGAGTAACGGAAATCAAGCCGCAGTTGACTGTTCTAGAATCAGAGTTGTAAGTGAAGGAAGAGAGAAGGTGAGCTAGATTGACGTCTGCACGTTGTAGAATTTGCTGCCGGAGTGAAAAGGGAATGGGAGGAGGACAAAACTTTAGTGCGTTAGGAGGAGCTGGGAGAGGAACGGCTGTTCAGAGAGAAAAGTCCTTAGTAAAGGGGAGATTGGAATCCATGGCCAAAGGCATGAGATGACTGATGCCGGGTTGGACACCGGGGAAGGGAGAAGATTCAGGAGGGAAGAAGAGCGGAAAGCAGATTGTGGTAGGAGGAGTTAGACGGATCTGGGGCCTGAAGCTCAGTGGCTTGGGATATGGAAGCCAAAGACTGTTGAGGAGGAATTGAAGCAGGGGCGAAGGCTGCGTGAAGGACTGAGGAGGCTGCCGAGTCGTCTTGGACGCCAGGGGTGGGGGAGGGTAAGGGCCGCCTGCTGGCTGAGCTGGGGGTCGTTTACTGGACGGCCTTTGGGCCTTGGAGACAGCAGCAGGGGCCGAAAGAGAAGAAACTGGGGCCGAAGGCACCAAGCCGGCGGAGCTTGAGCCGTGTTGGACGCTGGAGGTAGAGACAGAGGAGAGTGCAGAAAATAGATTCAGCAGAGAAGAGGGTGGGGGAGGAGCGTGAGCCTGGGGCCTTAGACTCAGCAGCAAGGAGTTTAGGGAAGGAGGCTGAGTGGAAGAGGCTAGGTGCAGTTGTTCAGCAGAGGTATGGATTGGTTGGGGAAGAGACACAGACACGGATATATCAGGACAAGACAAGACAGACGACGTGACAGGCAGAGTTGGCCTCTGGGTCCTCATGTTGGGATGAGTGGCGGTGGCAAGGGTGATGTCATCAGAGGGCGCCGGGGGAAGATGTGGAGCTGATGTTTCCTTTGTGTAGACTGCGGTTAAGTACAGGGAAAACAGAGCTTTTTTGGAAGCGTTTCTTTTAAAACAGACGCCATGTTTTCGAAGTATCCTCTGGAGGCTTGCTATGGTCCAGTTGGAAATCACGAGAGAAAATCCGGGAGAATGTGCATGATCCTCGAGAGAAGCGGGGGATATTTGGAGACTCTGCCGTGGTGGAACGGGAAGGCTGGGTTTGTGATGAGAGAGGGACTACGACGGCGGAACAGTCTTCGGCGAGGAGTTGGATCTTGTGAGGACTGGCTGGGAGATGAGCGGCGCTGATGTGGCACGGCAGGTGAAGGAGGCGATGAGACGGAGGTGAGGGGAGCGGGGGGAGAGGACTGGACGAAAGGGGTAGGAGAGTCTCCTGCACTGCAGAAAAGGTCTTCATCGGAGCAGCGGATTTGCAGATCCATGAGAAGGGAGCACGGATTCGAGCTAGGCGAAAACGAACCATGCAGAAAACGAACGAGGAAGAGGAGAGGGTGACATTTGATATATATGGAGACCGGTTGCTTACATCAGGATTAGTGAGAATTACAGCAGCTGTGTCGAATGAGCTCGGCTGCCTTCATTCCTCCCGAAGGTCATTAAAAACTCCATTAAAATGTGTAAAAATTATTATTAAAACTCAAAAAACATGTCCAGAGTAGTTGGAATTTTCCTGCATGCCAAGTCCTATGATGCCTGAGGAATCTGAAATAGTAGCATAGTTTTTCCCTGGCTAACAAGACATTCAGACTCACCTTCCTTAATTAGATTTCTTCAGCTGTTGCCTTATTAATTATACCAGAGCTCATATCACAGAGCTGAGAGCAAGTGTGCCCTTTTAAGAAGAAGCGCTCTTAGTCACAAGAAGATGATGCACAGAAACGAGGCCGATTAAGAGTTTCAGAGCCACAGGTGTACTGATCTTGTCTCATCATCTTGTAGCTTCAGTAGGTCAGTGCTGAATGAGAGGCACTCAGTGTTGCACCACTCCTTGTCCCACCTGAACTGGCTCAGCTTCGTTAGAGTTGAAGGAATGTTATACATTTTATAAAAGCTAACACACTGCTTGTCTTTCAGCTTCCTAACTGCTTATAACCCTGGCAAGTGGAAACGTACCAGGGGGCATCTATAGGTCAGTGGAAAAGTAAAGCTCATGTCTTAAATGTAGTAGAAAGAGAAGTCGAATGTCTTGGTTTGCGAATGTAAGCAGTAAGGAAAAGTCTTAATAGGGAGTTGTTTTTCTCTACCCAAGCTTGACTGAAAACTAATGATTTGTTTGAGGGATTAGGTAATCTATATTCAAAGTAGGAAGTTTGTCTGTTACTGTGTATAAAAAACACTGAGCTACGTCTTTCGGGGAGACTAGCTGTTGCAAGCTTCTCTCCCGTGTGCACACGAATAAACAGCTCTTCTTTCACCAGCATCCGAATTCTGTCATTTTAATGTTTCTTCAGAGTAAAGGAGATCAAAGAGTGAAAAGTCTGAGCCTGTAGCGTATTTGAGAAGAGGAGACAGGCAGCTCTTCAGCGATGCAGAGATAGTGGAGAACTGGGGAAGGCCGGGAAGGGGAATCGACAATATATTGTGTCTCCGCAGCTGTGCATGTACAGTGTTTGGGAATGATGCAGTATGTGTGTTCGTAACCCCATCTAGGGGAGTCTGGAATAAAGACCGGTCATGATTGCTCCTGGATGTAGTGTTGGCTTAAGAACTACAACTCCCATAAACACACTGAGCGACCTGACAGCGTCTACATCACAGCCTCTATCCTGCCTGGCTGTGGTAGCATCTGGCAGGTCCCTCCCAGTACTGCAGCAGCTTCACGGGTGTCTGTGGTCATGGGAGCACGCAGACGGACCTCACACATGTGCCTGGTTACGTGGTCATTGTGAAAAAAAAGTGTACAAAAGCGGTACAACTTTTTACAAAAGCTAAAAAAGAAGCCATCACATAGAAGAGTTTGATTTGAAAGTTAAAAAATGAACAGCTGCTTTTTTTTATCGGTGCAGTTTCTGTCTTGTCGGATCAGTCAGATAAGCCTATCTTGAGACCAGGTGCAGATAAACTGCTCTGAGACATCAAGCTGTCAGCAAGCCGATCTCATAATCAGCAGATCACCAGTTCTGTGCAGAGGGGGGACCTTAACAGCAGTTCTGGGTCAGGGTGCTGCTACACAGCATGAGACATGATCATATAGAGGGAGGGTAAATGCATAGCAGCGACAATTTTTTTGCTATTAACGAGTGTATCTGTGAGCTACCAGCACTGATTTACTACAGCTACTGACTTAGTAATAGTAATAGGTTTATTCCCTGCTGACGAGAGAAGAAAGAAAACACAATGTTTCAGCTATGGATCTTTCTTCGGGTGTCACACCACAGCAGGAACGTTGTGTTGTTTGTTTCTTCTCTTTTCAGCTGGAATAAACCCGTTTCTTGTTTCTTGTAACAGGTCTGTTGTACTGTACTGGGAATGTAGCTCCTATTGTAACAGGACTGTTGTACTGTATTGGGACTGTAGCCCCTATTGTAACAGGACTGTTCTACTACACTGGGACTGTAGCTCCTATTGTAACAGGGCTGTTGTACTGTACTGGGACTGTAGATCCTATTGTAACAGGTCTGTTGTATTGTACTGGGACTGTAGCCCCTATTGTAACAGGACTGTTCTACTACACTGGGACTGTAGCTCCTATTGTAACAGGACTATTCTACTGTACTGGGACTATAGCTCCTAATGTGTGAGGACTCTTCTGCTGTGCTGTTGCTTTTACTTAAAGCTTATTCCTTACTCTCTGTTATAGAGCATTATTTAAAATCTTTGATTTCAGCAGAAAGAGTCACAGTAAAAATGGAGGAAGGAGAAAACTGGACAGACCTTTTGATAATCATTATTTTGACCGCCATTTCCATTTTAATTCTGTGTACTTTGTTTTTTTTATTTGTTTGTTGTTGTGCTTAATATAAAATAGATCTTCAATATAAAACATGCATTTTTATTAAAAACAGTATTTATATGTAGAAGAATTAAATCTATGTTTTCTTTTTTTGAGAAAAACATTTAACGAGTTGCCTTCATTGTCAAGTCCTTGTATGAGGTACATGAAAACCTGCCTTTGTGCTTCCTGTGTTTCTGGTCCCTGGAAGACGAAGAGTTCAAGAAAGAATACATTGTGGGCAGAGTGGAGCAGCCTACCCACCTGCTCCCTTCACTGCCCACCACCCTTCATATAAAACCCATCTGCAAATCCTTATTCAACGTCAGGACCAGGCCACTTCCACTCCTCTCAGAACCTCTGGTTCCCTGAGTTTTTAACTGTGTGCTGCACTTGCTGTCTCCATTGTGAGTCTGAATGGGTTTGTTGACTTCTTTCAGATCCCTTGTGGTGGTGTACTGGTTAGAGAAGCAGTGCAGTAGACGGTTACGGTTTTCTGCTAGTTCAGGACATGTTTCACAGAACAGCCGGGTGTCGGAAAGGACGAACCGTGGAATGGCAGGAGAGCGAAAAAGAACCTATGCGTAGCAGCGAGACGGGGGTTAGCCCTGGCTCAGCTGTTAAGGAATGCCGTATAGAAACCTATGCCATCAGGTAGCGGACGTGGGGCGACCTGATGCTAGGTGGGTTTCAGGACATCCGAACCTCAATGCTGAGTGAGGAGCAGAGCAGAAGCAGGAAGTAAATAGGCTACACAACAAGACACACCAGAAAGACATGAATAATCACAGGGAACTAGGAACAGGAGAGAAGTACAGAGCCCTCTAGGTGTACTGGGCGTGACAGCAGCTGAGCACACTGAAGTCAAACAGTGGTTTTCTCAAACACAGAAAGATTGGGTGATGCAGGACCAGTCAATGTGGAGCGGGTTCCTTGTTGACCAATCAGCAGGGAGAATCCTGCTGCCCAATTGCTGTCGAGGATTGATGTTGTGTGGGTAAAGTTGAGTGAGATTGATGCTGACCAATGTCTATCAGGGGATGTCGGTGATGATGAATCGCTATCTGAGCGCTGGCTAAGCTGGATTCTGATAACAATGGGAGATTCATACCAGCGATTCTGAGGCAGCATGGGATTTTGAGGGGAGGAGGGTTTCAGCTGTCAGCAGATTCTGTTGAGCTGAATTCAGTGACGTCTGTTCCCCCTTTTTGTTAAAAACATGGAACTTGCCCAACTAGCCATGAGGATTTATGTAAGAGTTTTAAGCTCTTACATCCTGTGCGGAGCTGTGTGACATGGACTGTAGATCATGAGGCCGAGAAGGTGATTAAGATTCAGGATCTGAAGGTTTATGTTACATTGATCTGAGGAAAGGATCTCTGTGTTTAAAACTCAAATGTGTTTCATTCTTCAGGTGTTCAGTGTGTCTGTAGCTGTCAGTGAAAGTTTGGGAAGGAGGGCTCAGAATGTGGAGATCCAGGCAGCCAGCAGAAGGTGGAGTGCAGCCAGGAGGAGGACTGTGTGGGTGAAGGGGGTGTAGAGGGCACTGGGGCTGCTTTTGGAGATGAGGGGAACTCTGGAGTTCACAGTCTCCTGCAGGAAGCTCGCGTAACGTGAGACCGTTATGAACGACGTTGTTGAGAGAGCGCGCGTGGTGCTGTTGCCAGGGACAATCACACTGGCCTGAATCCAAATGGAGTTCCATTTGCAGACCAGGGGACCTCCTGTGTCTCCCTGTGCAGAGTAAGACAGACGGGGGTTAACATGACATGGATTGATTGACTTCTAAATGACATAACTTCTGTAAATCTGAAACTGAAAGAAGAGTTTTGATGGAGGTGTGCTCACCTGCTCCAGGTCCAGAGGAGAAGTACAGATGGTGTAAGCTGAAGACCCGTTGTCACACTGGACGATTGTTGTATTTTTTTCCTGGAGGAGCGCTAAAGGAACAGAGAAGCACAGCAATTTTAGCATCTTCTAGAACACATGATACCCCACTTTACCCCCCGCTAAAAAACACTGGTCCCCATTTGTGCAGCTGGTTCAGGCTGTGTGAGACACTCATCATGTCTGCAATCAAGAAACGGACTCCTCATAGACCTTCAAGGGGAAGCTTCCAGCCTGACTCACCAGCAGTTGTGTTGTGTTGCCCCAACCGGTGACCCAGCACTGAGTGCCAGGGGTGAATGTGATTCCTGCCCCTGCCAGGCAGACGCTCAGGATGTAGTCTGTGAAGGAGACATTGGTGTCCAGTCTCAGGAGGGCGATGTTGGTGCCACTAAGGCTGCTGGTGAAAACGTTCAGGACTCCAGTGGATTTCTCTAAGGTGTTGGAGCTTGTCTGGTTCTGCCTGCCAAGGAACACTCTCCATTCACTGGTGTTCACAGAGCTGGAGAGCGAAGGAGACAGAGAGAGAGGGTTTAATTCAGAGTCTGAGAACATTGCACTGTAATACCACTGTGACAAACACTAATGCAAATCAGAGGGAAAGTAACACATCATCAAACCATCAGTGTAAATCAGTCAATATTCACCATTTCACCCCCTGATGTTACAAGCTTTTACACTTTCTTGCAGTGAGTCAAAGTTCTTCTGGGATTTATCTGTTGATTTTTCACCATTCTTCAGTGACTTCCTTTCTTCTCTATGTAGCTGGTTGTTACTGGGTCCCAAGTACCTGTACAGCTGAGCCCCGCATCATCAGTGCGAAAGTGATCATGTTCATCAGACAGTTGTAGTACAGGGGCTCCTCACTGTGTGTTCCCCCTTTTTATGATTTCCTGCACTTATGTAGCTGATTTTATTGGGGAAAATAACACTGCATTCTCTGCATTCATGTTTCCATTGCAAGCAGAAAACAAAAAGGTTGAAGAAGTAGGGTGCCTCGTTAGTGTGCGCAGGCTGGAAAGGAACAAGATTTGTTCCATGCTGAAAAGAAAAGAGACGCAACGTTTCGGCTTAGGAACCTTCTTCAGGTGTGAGGGAGAGAGGAAGATCAGCAGTTGATAGATAAAGCATGGGAGCACAAAAGCTGGGAGTGGAGAGGAGGCAGGAGAGAAGGAGCATCGACTCTCGGGTGGTGTGAAGTCAAAACCTGCAAATAAATAGAGAGAATTAGAAAGAAATGAATCTGTCATTGAGAGAAGGGGGAAGGTGTGATCCCAATTTCATGATAAATTTGGTTTCGGATATCTTTCTGCAATAGGTGTTCTGAAACCCCTCTGTGAGGATGCAGATGGAGAGATCAGTCGGATCAGGTATGATGTACAGGTAAAATGGGAAACTATGGGCGTGGAGAGCCCATATTTCCCTGAAATGGTCCCCCAGTCTCCTACCTGTCTCACCAATGTAAATAGCTGGGCATTTTTTGCAAGAGATGCAGTAAATTAGGTTGCTGGAAATACATGATGTCATATGGGTGATCCAGAATTACCCAGAAGAGTCTTGAATATGCGTGGTCTTGGATATATGTTTGCAGAAAGATCTGTTACAGGGGAATGTGGATTGGAGATTTGCAGGTGGGTTTTGGTCTTTATCTGGGTAAGAGGGGCAGGTCGGTTTTGGTCTCTGTCTGGGTGAGAGGGACAGGTGGGGTTGGTCTGAACCTGGGTGAGAGTGACAGGTGAGGTTTGTCATTACCTGGGTGAGAGGGACAGGTGGGGTTGGTCTGTACCTGGATGAGAGGGACAGGTGGGGTTGGTCTGTACCTGGGTAAGAGGGGAAGGTGGGTTTTGGTCTGTAGCTGAGTGAGAGGGACAGGTGGGGTTGGTCTGTACCTGGGTGAGAGGGACAGGTGGGGTTGGTCTGTACCTGGGTGAGAGGGACAGGTGGGGTTGGTCTG